TATGAAGTAGTTTTTTGATAACACTTTAGTTTATAGATCACAAATCATGCTATTACCTGCTGACTCATTACCTGCCTATTATTAAGATATTAACTGTTCATTAGTAGTTATAAAGTATAATCTTATTCTGCATGCCTAATCCTACCCAAAACCTAAACCCAACTTCTACCTTACTAACTATTAATAAACAGCTAATTAGTAGTTTATTAAGCTTTTAGTGTTAGTTAATGGTTTGTTAATACCATGAATTGTGACCTAAACTAAAGTGTTAACAGTTTTTGTAATATATATATATATATATATATATATATATATATATATATATTAGTCCTGGGCACAATTTTGGGGAAAAGAAATTGCAATATAAATAGCTTATTTTCTATTTTAAATAGTTAATACATTTTTATTGAATGGAAATATTTTGTAGAGGAGTGCATCTGCAGAAAATATTATAGACTAAATGCCAGCATAGATGAATATAGTAGACAACAGCAACGGTAAAAATCATTCTAATAGAGTTAGGTACGGAAATAAAATAAACAAACAATAAAATTGTATTGTCTTTACTATATAAATCATTAACAAAAACAGTTTGATTTAAAGCTACAAAATGCAATTCTTTGTGCCCATTTAAAATGCATACACAGTCACAGGCCTTAAAACACCCAAAACTGATAAACTTTCACACTTTTGTGGTTAAACTGAAATTACTTTACAATTTTACCTGGCCAACTATAATCCTGACTCCAATTTCAGAACCTGCGATGTAAATATTGTGCATTCAAATGTTCTGATATCAACGCTAAAACGATATATATGTGTGTGTGTGTGTGTGTGTTATCATAAAACCACTGAATTATGATGTTGCATGAAACACTACACACTATACATATAAATATGTATAGTACATATGTATATATATAAATATATATACATATATACAGTTGAAGTTACAATTATTAGTCACCCTCAATTATTAGCCACTTGTTTATTTTATCCCCCAATTTCTGTTTAATGCAGAGACGATTTTTTCATCACGTTTCTAAACATAATAGTTTTAATAACTCATCTCTAATAACATGGCTTGCCAGTAAAGACCTTAAAGATGAAAAAGTAATGACATGGCCTCCATCTTCACCTGACTTAAACCCAGTTGAAAACTTCTGGGCCCTTCTTAAGCAGAACATTATCAGTGAAGGTAAACAGTACACCTCTCATAACAGTGTCTGGCAGGCTGTGATTGCAGCTGCACAAAAAGTTGATCCTGACCAGATCAAATAACTGACTGACTCAGTGAATGTAAAGCCTGTGATATCGAAAAGAAGGTTGACTAAATTAGTAACTGAGGATTTACTTTTGAAGTTTATTTGTAAAATTTTGATTTAGTTTATCATTCTTACTTTAACAGTAGAAAATAAACTTGTGAGATGGAAAAATCTTTGTTTTTCATTGAGTTATGCATAATAATTCTGCATATCTAATGTGTATGTAAAAAATATATGTCTATATTTTTAAAAGGAAATATTGAGTTCACTATTCATATTCATTTCTTTTATATTGTACAAATTTATATCATATTTATATACAATCATTATAGTTCTCCATGACATTTACATTAAAATCATTTTCAGAACAAATTCGTCTTTTATTTTTTGTTAGCTGATGCCAGAAACCTATTTAAAAACACAATGTTTTTAAAACCATTTCCTTTATGCCTGATTTTATCCTATTCTAAAGCTTTATCTATTGTAGCTCTGCAGCTAAAGCCAGATAAGATAACACACGGCATTCTTTCTAGCTTATCTGATACCACAGACAGATGATAATGATCTAAAGCATCAGACAAATAGGCAATCTCATCTATAATGTTGTACGTCAACTGTAACAGAATAATTTTCTTTCAGCAATATCGCCGTATGAAATATTGTTAGCAGCAGATGAAGCCAAAACCCCTATCCGATATCATGTGCCATTCACTTACTGTATGCACGCATATGAAGTGGGTGAGTGTATGAAATCAGATGCGCCTTGAGTTGTATTTGCTCAATTAGGAAAATCAATAGCTTCATACTCATTTCATTTATTTGTTCATTATTATGTCAGATGTGCAGATGCGTTTCTCACACTAGGGTTTGATCTGTGTGCTAATGTACTGCTCGGTGCTGATGTCATGCTTAAGCTTTATTTATAGTTTTGTCTGCATCAGTGCTGTCTATTGATCCTTGCACAAACAGGGAACAATTGAACGCATGGATGGATGAACTGCACTCGGAGATTTGTAAAGAGTAACAAGACACCGATCAATTGCGTGCTTTTCATAACGTTCAATAATACTGGCTTTTCATTGAGATCATTTATCAAATATCACAATTGAATGACTGACCAAATGAAACAAGGAGTGGAAATAAGTCATGTAGGGATGTTTGTTCTTGTGATTGTTTTGAAAGGGGCATGGAATTCACATATACATGAAATTGTATATATACAGTTGAAGTCAGAATTATTAGCCCCCCTTTGAATTTTTTTTCTTTTTTAAATATTTATTAAATGATGTTTAACAGAGCAAGGAAATTTTCATAGTATGTCTGTTAATATTTTTACTTCTGGAGAAAGTCTTATTTGTTTTATTTTAGCTAGAATAAAAGCAGTTTTTATTTTTTTAAACACCATTTTAATGACAAAATTATTAGCCCTTTTAATCTTAATTTTCTTAGTTTTCGATAGTCTACTGAACAAACCATCATTATACAATAACTTGCCTAATTACCCTAACCTGCCTAGTTAACCTAATTAACCTAGTTAAACCTTTAAATGTCACTTTAAACTGTATAGAAGTGTCTTGAAAAATATCTAGTCAAATATTATTTACTGTCATCATGACAAAGATAAAATAAATCAGCTATTAGGAATGAGTTATTACAACTAATGTTTAGAAATGTGTTGAAAAAATATTCTCTCCATTTAACAGAAATTATGGAAAAAATAAACGAGGGAGGGGGGAATAATTCTGAATAATTCTGACTTCAACTGTTTACAATAATCAACTTTAAAATACAGTAACATACTGCATAAAAGTCCTACAGCATGTCATATTACGGTTAAATACTGGGTCACACTTTACAATAGGTTCAACAGGTTCATTAGTTAATGTTAATTAATGCATTTACTAACAGGAAAAAACAATGAACAATACATTTACTACATTATTTGTTCATTTTAGTTAACGTTAGTTAATAAAAATACAGTAGTTCATTGGTAGTTCATTGTTAACTCATGGTGCATTAACTAATGTTAACAAGCATGGACTTGGATGTTAATAATGCATTAGTAAATGTTCAGTTATGATTAATAAATGCTGTACATGTGTTGTTCATGATTAGTTCATGTTAGTAAATGCATTAATTAATAAACCTTATTGTAAAGTGTTACCGAATACTTTACAATTTACAAAAATCGTTAACTGTGTAGTTAGATTTCTTGAGATTGGGCTGGTTTTGATTTATTTTGCTCATTGCCACTCACTGATTGGTGCAACATTCTGTACAGCATTATGAGTAGTGTAGTTTTTCTGCCCAAAATACACCAACAAACACCACTGCTTTAAAAATAAGATTATTAGTGTAAACAGAATTTAGGAACGCCTATATGATCACAACCTCTGGCCATCGAACAGTTCTGTCTTTAAATATTTAATTTTTGTTCTTGTTGTTATTGAATCTTTTTCCTTAAGGAGAAAATGAATGTAAGGTATATTCTTTTAAACTGTTGTGCTTCATTTGAGCATAAGAAACAACATTTACAGTTCACATCAAATGCACATCCAAGCATTTTATCTGATTGTGAGTTTGTGTGGCAGGTTTCCCCTTTTTAAAACAGATAAGATTTAGGAATCCTAAAATAGCAGTCAGGAGGTGTTGAAAATGAGCAAACAGAATTTTCTTGAAAAAGACTAATATGTTATTTCCACTTCCACTTAAACACGAAAAAAAAGATTTTCTTTCCTACTGTTAAGTACAAATTACTTTCAACTTTAAATTATGTTTAAATGAGCTGAAAGAGTTCAGTCGTGTGGAAATGTGTCATAATTATATTAAGTTACAAGAATGAGTTTTCTTTAAGAGTAGTCGGAGTGCATCATAATGCTTATTTTATCCTCATCCATAAACACCCACAGTCAATCAATTTTATATAATCTTCACCCCTGCTAAACTTTCAGTAAGTGAAAAAAATGAATAGCAAAGTCACCATGGAAACAGTACACAGATGCTGTAGTTTTCGCACAGTGATCTTAAAGAATTCAGAAGCAAACAGGAAATCTATTATTAGCATGTTAATGAGAAGTAGAGAAATTATGGTAAATCTTATAATGTGAACTTTCTGCATTTATGTAAGGCATAACAAGTAATTATTGTCTTATTGTTATTATATATACAGTTGAAGTCAAAATGATTAGCCCTCCTGTGACTTTTGTTTTCTTTTTCTCAAATATTTCCCAAATTATGTTTAACAGAGCAAGGAATTTTTCACAGTATTTCCTATAATTTTTGTTTTTTCTGGAGAAAGTATTATTTGTTTTTAATTTAAAAAAAACACTTATAGTCAATATTATAAGCCCCTTTAAACAGCATATTTTTTGATTGTCTTTAAAACAAACCACTTTATACAATGACTTGCTTAATTACCCATAACTTACCCCAAATTAACCTAGTTACACCTTTAAATCAAACTTTAAGATGGATACTAGCATCTTGAAAATCGTCTAGTGGCATATTAAACTGTCAACATCATAGCATAGACAAAAGAAACCACTTATTAGAAATGAGTTAATAAAACTATTATAAATAATCTTTCTGTTACACCGAAATGTTGGGGGTGTGGGGTATACAGGGGGCTAATAATACAGGAGGGCTAATAATTCAACTATTATTTTTATTATATTATTTTTGCATCACACCATTCATCAATTCTCTTCTTTGTGTGTCTGTATTTGTTGTGTACAGACAGTAACTTCCTGCTGGGGAATGCTCAGGGGAGTCGCGGATACCCCATCGTGTACTGTTCAGACGGCTTCTGCGAGCTCACAGGCTTTGCGCGCACTGAGGTAATGAAGAAGACGTGCACATGTCAGTTTCTGCATGGACAGGAAACAAGCGAGAGAGTCACTCAGCAGGTGGAGAAAACCTTGGAAGGACAGAGAGAGTTCCAGACAGAGGTCTGCTATTACAGGAAGAACGGTAAAGAACACTTTTTTTTTTTTAAATTGAACACATTGAACATCATTAAATGACAAATGTAGTGTATAATATAATAAGCATATGTAGTGGTTACGCATAAGGGAAATAGTTTTGATTTTAAAAAAAATGCTCCTTTAAAATAATGATTTATCATACAATTTTAGGTCCCACTTTATATTAAGTGGCTTAAAATCTGTGCTTTACTGTGGTAAAAGGGGAAAGGTTTCATGCTCTAAAATAAAAAAAATGTTATAAATTGTGAAGTCAAGAGAATTTTTTTTTATTGTGTTCAATATTTTTGCATTGAAAGCCAAGTGTCTCGTAAGTTTATATTTCAAATTTGCATTAGAGAGCAGGCAAAATGAGATCTCTGTAAAAAGTTTTCCAAGGCTCTGTTTTCTCAAAAATGACCTTCCCAAACTTAAACAGTAAAAGTTGCTTAATAATTTGGTTTACATTCACAGTTCATGTATCTTTGGAAAGAAGACACTTTGGGCTTTATTATCCATCATCTAAAGTTTATAATGTTCAAAATGAAAAAAGTTATGTAAAGAAATTGCACTGCACTAAACATTTTATTATTTCATAAACAAATATAGTAAATTAACCCTGGAGCAATACAGAAAAGTTACAGGTCAAAAGCTACACATCTCCTGACTACAAATTTTGAATTTGATGCCAATATCATGCAAAATGAAATTTCTGGAAATTTCCACCTATCCATACCGCCAAACCTGTGCCTAACTTTACCTGTATCCCACCTTAAGAGCATCAAAAGTCTTCTCCAACACATTAAGTACATTTATACATATTTTTATATAAGTACATAGTAGTTAAGGCATCTTAATATAAAGTGGGACTCAAATGTACTTTAGTTTTACACCTATTAAAATGTGTAACATCAATTTGTAAACCCTCCCCACAATTTTTTTTGAACACCTCCAAAATACTCATTAAGGGCCCTGTCATACATCTGGTCCAATGAGATCTTTGCAAAACATGTATGGCATGACATGTATGGCGTGATGTGTCGCTGTTTTCAGATCAGCGCAGCCCTAATTTTCATGTTTTGTGCCACGGTATTTAAATAGCAAATTTATTTGCACCACTTTGTGGACTCACTAAGGTGCATTGTTGGAGCATTGCTATTTTGGGGCAACTGAAATAGACCACACCGTTGACCATCTAAAAGCTGGTCTAAAGTCCAGCGCAGAGTGCCTTATTTATACGACTATGCGGTCCAAAACGCTTACACATTGCTTAATCACAGGATGTACAGCAATACACAAATATCTCTACATATGAAAAAAAAATTTAAAGATTAAAATGTTACTAAATTATTATTTCTACCTAAATATAAAACCCACTGCCTACATGCCTTCTTCGCCTTAGGGGGCTTTTTCAGTTTAGTCATGACAATTTGCATAATGCTATTACTATTAGCAGTATTAGTTATTAAATGCATATTTATATTTGTTTTTACAAAAAACAAGCTTGGATTTGTCCACCTGTTTTGTTTTGGAGATGTATGCATCACCATAATAAGAATAGGACATGTGTTTGGATATAACTCAGCTTTTTGACCACACTTCATTATTATTATTAATTTATTCCTTTGCTGGAAACTAGAACTGATTTTAGAAATAGTTTTGAAACAAATCTTTGAGCTTAACAAACGAAATTAAATATGTAGGCTAATAGATGTCTTCAGTGGAGTGGGTAGAACACTGTTTCCTTATCCACCAAAGTAAAGGAGTAAAGTAAAGAGTACATGTAAAGTAAAGAGAAAGTAAAGAGGCCGAATGGAGGAGGCTCATTCTTTATCCTCACACTGCAAGGATCTTTACACGCAATGACTCAGAGATTGTTTACTGTATATCACTGATGAGATGACTGATGTTTACTGTATCTTTATTGAAATCACTAAATGACCCTGAAACAATTACTAAATGCACTACAAAATGTTACGTTTTCACATGCACAAATTTCATGTAAACGCTTCAACCTTTCACAGTGTAATACTCACTACTCTTGAGTGCTTTTAAAAGGGCTACTTTTAAATTTTTAACAGATACTTTTACTCTACTTGCACTACATTTTTGGGCAAGTAATGGTACTTCTACTTGAGTATGATTTTTCTGTACTCTTTCTGGATATGAATGAACTTTTAATTAATGAGGAGACAATTCAAATACTAAAGCTTTCACATTTTGCCTTTCTTGACCCACAGGTACTACTTTCTGGTGTCTGCTGGACATTGTCCCTATTAAAAATGAGAAAGGAGAAGTGGTCCTTTTTCTCCTGTCCTTCAAAAACATCACTGACTCGTATGGTAAATCCCATTTGGGCTCCAGCACAGAAGGTAACAGGCTAGCAGTGAGCCAACAAAGCATGTTTGATCCCAGTTATGGTTGATCATTCGATTAATTATTTTCACACGCTTTGATTTTGCTGTTTTGTTAGAGGACAGACGTCACGGCAGGAAAGTGGGTCGAACTCACCTGAGTCAAGCTCGAGAGCGTGGCCGCAACGTCCTGTACCACTTGACCTGCCAGTTCACTAATAGGAGCAAACGAAAGCTGCCAAATGTGAGTAAATATAAATCACTTGATCACTTAATTATAATTAATACCTTAATGTAAATGAAGGGGAGCGACACGGTGGCTTGGTGGTTAGCACTGTCGCCTCACAGCAAGAAGGTCCCTGGTTCGAGTCCTGGCTGGGCCAGTTGGCATTTCTGTTTGGAGTTGGCATGTTCTTCCATTTTCCTCCGGGTGCTCCGGTTTGCCACACAGTCCAAAGACATGCGCTACAGGTGAGTTGAATAAACTAAATTGGCCGTAGTGCATGAGTGTGTGTGAATGAGTGTGTATGGTGTTTCCCTGTACTGGGTTGTAGCTAGAAGGCCATATCCCCTGCATAAAACATGCCGGAACAGTTGTCGGTTCATTCCGCTGTGGTGACCCCTGATAAATAATGGACTAAGCTGAAGGAAATGAATGAATGAATGAATGATTGTCTGCTGTTTTCATTTAGTGCAGATATGTTTTATGTAGCAAAATTTCACAACATCAGTTTGTTTTGACTTTATTTTTACATTATCCAATCTATTTTAAATCTGCCCACACTAATGTATAATGCATGTTTTTGTAGATTGTGTTGAAAGTGTAATTTTTTGCCTTTCATATAGAGCAGATATTTAAAAAATGTCACATACCTTTCTGGTTTCTAAAATAAATTGGAACTTGCTATTAGAATTAGCAAGTTTGCTAGGAACAAAATGTAGTCAACCATGTAATATCAAGATTGCTGTGCATCACTAGTGTCTTTATGAATGTGTTGAGCTGTATTAAAAGAGAGTCTAAAGTTTAATCAGTTTAGCCCCACAAAAAGAACAGGTTTTCTTACTGGTCTAATTATTGTTTCCTATTTTTTCTCTTTCTTATGAAAATAAGTCTCCTTTGCTTCATTCCCACCCTTCTGAATTAGAGTTGAGTTATTAAAACAAGACTCTATAGTTGTGCTTTCTTGCAGTCAGCATTTAGTAGATCTGCTATAAGTTAAAATGTCACTAATGTTAATGTTTAACACCTAAAGTGGCAATGTGGTCTTAAAATATATGGATTGAGCCTTAAAAAGGCCTTCAGAGCTATTGAATTTAACTTTATAAGTCCTGTATATACCCTGAAGTCAAGTGCACTTAAAGCCATATAGTTTGACTAAAAATAGATATTTACCCACTATTTACTCACCCTCAAGTGGTTCCAAATCTTTTCTTTAGTAGTAGGAAAAACAAACACTATGTAAGTCAGTGGTTTCAGCATTTTTCTAAATATTCATTCATTCATTTTCTTGTCGGCTTAGTCTCTTTATTAATCTGGGGTCGCCACAGCAGAATGAACCGCCAACTTATCCAGCAAGTTTTTACGCAGCAGATGCCCTTCCAGCCGCAACCCATCTCTGGGAAACATCCACACACACATTCACACACACACATTCTACGGTCAATTTAGCCTAACCAATTCACCTGTACCGCATATCTTTGGACTGTGGGGGAAACCGGAGCACCCGGAGGAAACCCACACGAAGGCAGGGAGAACGTGCAAACTCCACACAGAAACGCCAACTGAGCCGAGGTTCGAACCAGCGACCCAGCGACCTTCTTGCTGTGAGGCGACAGCACTACCTACTGCGCCACTGCCTGCCAATTAAATAATTATTAAACATTTATTTAGATTGATCGTGATGATTTTGTCGGGGAGGGCATCTAAATGAAATAAATACAATAGAGCAAAGATACAAATAAAAATTAGCAGTGCTTTAGGGTTTTCTGGAAAGTCTAACAGTATTCAGGTACAAAAAAAAATCTAATGTAAATCAATGTATTGGATAAATTATTCAGTAAAATTAAGTTGCAAACGTTACAGTTTATTGTGTCTGCTTTAAACTGCATGAAGTCTGAATTTAAGTCAATGAGTACTATATATATATATATATACGCTGAAGTTAAGTGCACTTAAAGCCACAGCGCACCTAAAAATAGATTTTTACCCACTATTTACTCACCCTCAAGTGCTTCAGAACCTTTTCTTTTCTAGTCATAAAAACAAATACTATGTAAGTCAGTGGTTTTTGCATTTTCTAAGTATTTTCTTTCGTGGTAAAATATATTTTAAAAGAAATTTTGCAGACATCAGCCACTTGTATAGGACACTCTGTCCTTGCTGTTTGAAAAGAACACACAGTTCAAATTTTGTATTAATAAACACCTACGATTTTTTTTTGGAAACAGAAGAAAGAAACTGGTTTGTGACAGGTGGATGACGAGTACAGCTGCGGGCTGGCATGGAGCCTATGAAAGTTTTTTTTAGGGGGTTTGGGGGGGAGGGGTGGAGCATGGAAAGGGTGTAGAGCATTAAATTAACCCCCCTAATAGTAGCTCTTGGGGGCCCAGAATTTTCCCCTCTAGTGGTGTCCCTGATTTCACCTACAGTGCTCAACATGAATGACTACATTTTGAAAATTAGTATTTTTATCCAGTTCTCAGGGAATATCGGTAAAATATTTTGGTGCATTTGAACAGAACAGATTTATTGAACAGATATATTTATTAAAATAAGAAAAAATGTCATGTAAATGAGAGATTTGTAAGTGGTGTACTCATGTTGAGCGCTGTATTTGGAAAGAATTCAATATATTTAAATGCATTAGGATGACTCTGTCAGGAAGTATATCTAAAATAAAATAAAACAAACTAATGACAAGCTTATATAAGTACAGTAGAGCAAAGATACAAATGAAATTAGCAGTGCTTTAGGGTCTGGTCAAATCAAATAGATAAAAACACTGCTGTGTTGTTTCATTTAGAGAGAGAGGGTTTCAGTGAGAGAGGGTTTAGCTCAACTAGAGGTGAAAATTGATTGGTTGCTATCATGTGTGGAGTGTCTAATGGCATTTTTAACTAGATTTATTTTCAACTCAAGAAAAGCATGTGGAAAAAGAAAACCAAGTGGAAAATAGAGAAAAGCGTTTGTTGAATGCCTTTTTTGAAAGCTATTTAAATAATGCATTTAAATCTATCTATTTTAAATTAAATCTATTTTAATCTATCTATTTAAATATATTTAAATTGATTCATAAATATACTTTTTTTATTGTTTGATTAATAAGCACTTTTATATGGAGCCAGATTAGTCTAAAAAAAATAGACATACGAAATAGTTCATACATTTACAACACAGTCACATTAACAAAATTCAGTTTTTAAGTTCGTAAATACACAAATTCAATTATTAAATTCAAAACACGATTCGTAAATACACAAATTGAATTCACAAATTCAAAACATGATTTGTAAATACACAAATCCAATTTGGTAATTCAAAACACGATTTGTAAATGCACAGATCCGATTAGTAAATCCAATGCACAATTCATTAATACACAAATCCAATTCATTTGGTAAAATTATTTTACCTAGGGAATTCCTAAATTGTGTGTTGTATTTATGAATTGTGCTTTGAATTTACAAATTGCATTTTATAAATGAATTTTGTAAATGTATTATTTTTGATCTGGCTCCGTACTTTTTAACATGAATTAATAAACATTTTATTAGGCCCCAAGTCTAGGGGAAACAAAAAGGGCATAATAAACGAAGAACAAACAAATGTGTTGGGGTGGTGGATTTCCCAAACTTAACAAAACTTAAAGCAAAAGATTCCCTTCGGTCGACAACCAAACTCACACACTCAATTGAGAGTATATATGAAGATATTTATTATAGAAAAATAGGGTTTATATAAATGAGCATTTCGTCAGGGTGACCACAGGCCAAAATAACAAACAAAAGAATCTATAAAATAAATCCACTAAATTACCTATTACTATTTAAATAAAAATACAAGAATCTTACCTTACTCCCTAACATAAACAAAGTCAAAAGTAATCAAATAAATAGGCAGGTCACCCCTACACGCTCAAACTCTCAATAAATATTCAAGCATAGGATGGTCATCAATACAAAGTTGATTATTGTTGGTTGTCGGCCGAAGGGGTGAGGGAAACCCAGGAGCTCCACTCCAAACACCGAACGCAGCAGAAATGAGCCCGCCGATCCCTGCCGGAAGCTCCCTTATATACAGGCCTCGTAGACCAGCAGCCAATCAGAGCGGGGAATCACGCCGGCGAGGGAGCCTATAAGACAACAGAAAAACAGCAAGGAGGCGGGACAAAAGAAAAAGAGTACAAACAGCAATAATAAAAAAATAAATAAACTTTAGTCGTAACACATTTATAAAATTGCCTATTTGTTTATTCAGTACATTTAAATGTTATTTTTAAATGCATTGTTTTATTATTTTAATAAATTACATTGAAAAACACAATTTACATAAACACATTATAATAAATCTATTTATTTGTCCATTTAAATTTATTTATAAACAATTTTATGCTTTAATTTTTAGTATTTTTTAAATATTTTTATTATATTTCTAACTGCCACCATAGTCTTCCATAGTATTCAGGTGCATACAAACAAATTAAATAATCAAATGTAAAATTAAAATGCTTCTTTGTATAAATAATTAAATTAAATTAACCTTTATTAAAGTGACAAATGATACAAATGACTTAATTCTTTAAACTGTTCTAGTGTTTTTTTGATATTTTATTGAAAAGATCTGACATATTGTGGCTTAACGTATGCTGTTTTATTTTACCGAAGGCAGTAAGATGCAAGATGCAGCATTTAAAGATGAGATGTTTGTTTTTTTCTGCCATTGTGACTGACCTTACAAACCCGTCAACGCTTTTAAAGAGTAAACGTCCTTGTTCTTCTAGCTAACAATGTGAAACAGAAGTCTGGCTGTTGAAGTGAAAAGGTCAGACTCATTGAATAAACACAATTTTGTTGATATCTGCCCGAATATTTCATTATTTGATTCTTCCTTTCATGAAGAAAATATTTCAGACATCAGTCTTTTGTATCGGACAGTCTGTCCTTGCTGTTTGAAAAGAACACGGTGCTCAAACTTCATACAAATAAACACCTACGCTTTTTTAGGTCGTGATGTAACGTGTTTTC